AAGAACACCCACACTTGCAGATAATACCCACTTAACCTGGCTTCAATGGCTAGATGATCAGAACTCAACTAGAAGAAGAAAGAAAATGGAAAAAAATAGTAATCTGATACAATTTGATGAACTTTGACCTACACCTATAGATGTAGTAGCTCAAAAGAGGGAACAAATCTTTACAACAAGGATCATTTCCCACCCCCTCAATACATAGGGTAGACAGGGATGGGCAACTTGGACATTGGCTACCCAAAATGGGGGAGAGGGTGGGCAAAGGCAAGAAGTGACTGGCTTACAAGCTTTAAGAGGGAGCCTAGATCCAGAGGGTGTGGAGGAAGGTAGACTCTCCACAGAGTAGTATTCAATCTGTCTGGACGGGGCTGATGAAAGGAGATGGGAATAGCACTCATGTGGTACAACAGTGAATAACTGCTATCAGGACTGACTGTGAAGGTTGGAAATGTAAAGGTAGATGTTTTGTAGCAAAAGGAGGGGAGTGGCTGACTTTACAGTGCCTGGGACGATCAAGGGAGAAGAGCAAAGTGCAGGACCCTATCCAGAGAAGCAGTGATGCCAGAGATGGAGGCAGAGACGATGAAGTGGAGCTATGAAGCGGCTGGGGACTCTAGACCCAGAGAGAGAGAGGGGCTGTGTGCTGATGACCAGGGGGCAGGCTTGCAGGGTATACCCTTTGGTTGTTTGATGATGCATGAAGGGGATTATAACCATGGCAATGAAACAATATATGATAGGATGAATGTAAAACTAATGTTCTCCCATATAAACTCTCACATAATTCACAATAAAACATTTAAAAAATTAAATAAGTTAATTTGAAAAATAAAGATGTCTGAGATGTACAAAAAAAGAAGACTGAAGTTGTCAAGGGCTTCATTTTAGTTGGTTCCACAATTGATATATATGGAGAATCAGCAGTCAGGAAATCAAAGGACATATTGCATTGGGCAAAGCTGCTGCATAAGACCTCTTTAAAGTGTTCAAGAGCAAAGATGGCAATTTGAGGACTAAGATATGCCTGTCACAAGCCATGGTATTTTCAATCTCCTCATATGCATGTGAAAGATGGACAATGAATAAGGAAGACTGGAGAAGCATTGATGCATTTGAATTATGGTGTTGCAAAGAATATCGAAAAGTTCCATATACCATAATAAGAACAAACAAATCTGTCTTGGAAGAAGTACAAGCAGTTGATGTTGTTAGGTGCCATCAAGTTAGTACTGACTCATAGCGACCTTATGCACAGCAGAATGCTCCTTAAAAGTGGCTAGACTTCATCTCACGTACTTGGACGTGTTATTAGGAGGGACTGCTGCTGTTTAGAGCGACCCTGCACGGTGTTTCAAAATGAGTGTTTGAATATACCTGTTATAAGTAGGCTTACTGCCTTAGGTAATAGGAATTAGAGACCTCTTTTCCATATACTACAGAATTGATTCTTGAAACTCATTTATGCTTTAATAAATGAAGTCCGGAAACAGTACATCGTACTTCGTAGAGGGTCAGAGAAAGACAGATAGACACCCAACAAGAAGGACTGACACAGTGGCTGTAACAATGAACTCAAACAACAATTCTGAGGATGGCGCAGGACTGGGCAGTGTTTGTTCTATTGTGTGAAGGATCTCTAAGAATTGGAGCAGACATCTAGTAAACACAAACACAAACTTTCATTCATTCATTCCTCTGAGTCCTGGTTTAATTTCTAGATCACTGACTCAAAAGTAGTTTCCACAAAAATGTCACTTAACAGTCTCACTTTTTAAAACATAAATGATTTTCAAGAATCAGTTCTAGCTCTCTCAGGTCTTAGCTTCAAAGATGACAAAGAAAAGGAGAAACAAGGGTTTTGCCAAAAAGGGCCACAGTCACGTGCAGTCTATTTGCTGCACAATCTGTGCCTGCTGCATGCCCAAAGACAAGGGCATTAAGAAGCTAGTAATTCGAAACACAGCAGAGGCTGTAGCCGTCAGGGGTATTTTTGAAACATGTATCTTTGATGCACATGTGCTTCCCAAGCTGTATGTGAAACTACATTATTCTGTGAACAGTGTCATTCACAACAAGGTGGTCAGAAACCTTTCTCGTGAATCCTGGAAGGACCAAACACACCCACTCTGCTTTAGACTCGCAGGTGCTGTCCCATGACCGTCAACAAAGCCCATGTAAAGATGTAAGCCCTTAAAGTATAAAGAAAAAATAACCTGCAAGAAAATAAAATGAAAATTACACTTTAAGAAAAAAAAATCAATTTATAGTACATGGAAAAAAGGTCTCTAATTTCTGTTACCTAAACTGGT